CCAGGCGTTTATTCCATGCCAAGAACAATGCTACCCCAACCCCTTGTTTTCATATTCTATTGAACCAAGTAGCAACGGCTTACTTGCGGACAACAAGGTTGTCAAGGTCAGCACGCTCCTTAACCTCCTTCTCGATCTCGCGGATGATAGGGCTAAGGTACTCGACGTCCTATTTGATTTGCATCGTTAGCATTGTATTCGTTGTGGTGAGTGTATACCCCGAAACGGAGTCGAATTGGATGTGACAAATCCGTGCAACAGGATTGGCCGATATGGAGACTAATGCGGGGAGGGCGAAATTTGGATGTCGGGGACTCACCTCCTCGGGCTTGATCTGCTCGTTGGCGGGAAGAAGAGTGTGGGAGATGGAGCACTGCAATTGACACATTTGTTAGCCTTTGCGCCAGTCGGGTACAGAAGGGATCGGGCGAACCTGGAAGGCGCGGCGGATGCGGAAGACACGGTCATAGGCCTCCTTGGCGGGAAGACGCTTGATGGCCTTCTGGACATTCTCGCTCTCCTCGGGGATCAGGTCATCGAACCTAGTTGGGCGGTTAGCAAGTGTTTCGGTCCAACCCTGCCGCGAACGATATCCGCAAGACCGGGGCTCCGGGCGAATTCGACACGACTCCGATTGCATTCAAAAGATATGCCACCGATGCATGCCGAATTTGACCAGCCAATTCCCAATCCTTGTCTCAATCGCTCGTGGTGGGGGGTTGTCGATGTGAGAGGGCAAGATTTACTTGAGTCCGAGTCTCCTGTAGCCGGCGGCATCGGTGTACCAGTGGGAGAGAGGGGTGAGCCAGCTCTTGAGCCATGGGCGCTTGACGATGTAACTGGCGAGCGAAGGGACAGACATTTTGAATCCCGGGTATCCCAATTGACGTGGGTGTGGTGAAAGGTTAGAAAGGCTATCGGGAACACGAGATGACCCGATGTTGCGAGGTTGTGCAAAACGGAGCTCGGGCGGCTAGTCCTGAAACGGCAGTTCTACACCTGAGGCTATTGACACGTGATCTATATGCGCCTTAGGCGGCGAGAATCTGGGATTGTTCAATCGGCACACTCTATCTAACAGATCGGTTTGCTATGTCATGTCCCCTTTGCGATCTTGTTATTTGATTTGAGAGAGATGGGATTTGTCAATCAGCAAAGCATCCACTGATCCCTGCTTACGTTAAGAAGCTTGATCGTTCCGAGAACCCCGCCCACATCCGTGCTGATAATAGAACATTGCGCATTCAAAAGGAAGCACACCGGGTTCGGCAACATCGGCCCCCCAAAACCCTCTCTCAATTCTCCGTCATTACTCATACCTCCTTCCTTACACCCGCGAAGGACTTTGGACCTTGGGACTTTGGACCTCCGGATAAATCTACATCTCTTTCCCAGCTCCGTTCGAAATAGTATTCTCGGGTTCCGGATTGAGCCACTCGATAACTATGCTCGTGTCCGGGAAGCCTCATTGATTCAGTACGGTCGAAAAGCTGCGTGAGCGCCAGCCGCCAAGATGAATACAAACGGCCGAGGCGCTCCAGACAGCTCCCAATCCCAAGCTCGGTCAACCCATGTCGACAATACCCCCAACTTGCCCGCACCGATCTCCGATTTCAAAATCCGCCTCGAGCTCTTTTCCACCAAGATACCCAACTTTTACGTAGCACCTCTCTGCGGAGCTAGCGCTGGCATGGCTTCTGGGATTGTCACATGCCCTCTTGATGTCATCAAAACGAAGCTTCAAGCCCAGGGCGGGTTTCGGCGGGGAGCAAAGCAAGTTGCCTCGGGGATGCTGTATCGTGGCTTGCTTGGAAGCGGAAGGAAGATTTGGCGAGAAGATGGCATTCGCGGTCTCTACCAGGGACTAGGTCCAATGTTGCTGGGATATCTCCCCACGTGGGCTGTTTATCTAGCAGTCTATGACCGTGCTCGTGAATATTTCTATGACAAGACAGGTAAGTACTCCAGAATGGAGGATTCGGTCATTCAGCAGTACTGACAAAACCATAGGAAACTGGTGGTTATCCCGCGGCTATGCTTCGGTCACGGCCGGTGCATGTTCAACGGTTGTGACGAACCCCATTTGGGTCATCAAAACTAGGCTCATGTCACAAAGCATCAAACAAAACAGCGAAGGAGTGCGAGCCCCTTGGCAATACAAAGGCACATGGGATGCTGCTCGAAAGATGTATCAAATTGAGGGCCTTCGCTCCTTCTACTCTGGCCTCACCCCGGCTCTGCTGGGACTGACACATGTGGCCATTCAATTCCCACTTTACGAATATCTAAAAATGACGTTCACGGGCTCTGGTATCGGTGAACACCAGGAGGATGGGAGCTCACACTGGGCTGGAATATCCGCTGCCACTTTCCTCAGCAAGATCTGTGCCAGCACAATCACGTACCCGCACGAGGTTTTGCGGACACGACTCCAAACACAGCAACGGGGTGTTCCGGCGCAATCCCACGAAGAGATCGCATTCCGCGGTGGATTGAAACATCCACATGACCGCGGCCGGTCGGGTGGCATATCCTCGTCAGATGGAATGCCCAGCCGCCCACGGTACAATGGCGTTATACGCACGTTCCGAACAATCCTCAAGGAGGAGGGATGGCATGCGTTTTACTCAGGGATCGGCGTCAACCTATTCCGGGCCGTTCCGGCTGCTATGACCACCATGCTCACCTACGAATACCTGCGGCGGCAGATCGGTGATTTGCAGCATGCCGGTGCTCTGAGGCTCCAGGCGGAAGAAGAAGCTGCGCGATCTATTTGACACAATATCATCACACAAAAGACTATCTCCAACCTTCAACCCCAACCCCAACCCCAACCTCCAACCTCCAACCTTTAACCTCTACCCTCCACGCTCCACCCTCACCCTCCACCCCAACCTTCAACCTTCAACCTCGACGCTTCATCCTCCTCCCTTCATATCCGCTTCTATCACATCGCACCCCACCGCTTCTGATCGCCGAGTCCTTCTTTTTCCCTTTGTCACAACCTGTATAGACATGGACGAGGCGGTCTGTTACTCGATATTTGAGATCAATCTTTAGCGAGTAAAATTTGCTACTGCATTCTGAAAGCATCCGAGCGTTTCGGCATAGATGACAGTGTCTCCAGACTTCTAGGGCTCTGACATGTGAAACAGCTTTCACATGTCTTCATATGCTCGCTGCATTTTAGCTGGAACATTATTGTACCTCCAAGCATGGCTTTTCTTTTCTTGCTCCTTTTTGACTTGTCTATTATCTTCCTGGCTTCTGCATGTATTTTCTGTACATACATACCTATTCTACATGGTTGCCCATTCTTGTGAATATACGTCCTCAAATAAAGAAACGGCCCTCATGCCTGATTCTGAAAGACGAATAGCATATTTCAATTGAAGCTATCCGTTAGAAAATTAGATCAGACTTCATCTCGACCATTGCATAGCCTCTGGCATGAATGTTAACCGTCCTCCAGACCTATCTCTTTGGATTCCGCCTCGTTTGTACGGAGTACTTGCGTTGTATTCGGAGTTTGAGACAAGTTTGATGAATGAAAAGTAGCGCGAATTTTCAAGACTGGCAGATTGATATCAACTCTCATCCCAAGCGAAGCCTAACAATTGTTACGTTGGAAAGTACAGTGTGTGGAAAACCTGCCACACAGCTTGTTGATGATAAACGTTGTATAGATGGATGCATCCTAGGCTAAGTAGATTATGGGGCAGGCACGTGACACACTATTTAAATTTGCCGCAATTATTTTTCTTCCCTCTTTTCCTTCCACTTCTCCCTCCACATTTTCCTCTTCGACAAACCATCAATCTGTACTTGATACCCAAGTGTTCAATGCTGGCACTTTGGAATCAATCAACAGTGGTCAGAAAACAATCCTAGATCAACCAGGTGTCGATTTCAATCAGCTTCACTTACTAACCTGGTTTGCATAAATCAATAACCTCATTGGCTTTGTGACTATTTGATCCATTGAAAGGCAGCTAGATGTGCCCATATAGTCTCATACTACCCCGCCTTGCAATTCCTTTGGTCATATCACACATTCCTTCACTATTCGCATGATGAACAATTTCAAGATTGAACTGGGTTGTCAATACACTTAGACTCCCGGGGCATGATCATTCATACACTGAAAATTCTGATTGAATATGAAGACGCAGATGTTACTTTGCTATCTTTTCACCTTCTACATAGCAACAAGAGCGAATGAACAAAGTATTTTACATGTTGGTATCACAATCTATTTATCAAATACTGTTCTCCATATAATACATGTAGAAAAGCACCCTTCAACATACATATGTATGTAGGTAAACCTCAAGATCGTCCCTTCCCACCATTCTGCGCTCGACTCTCCTCAAGTGCTTGTTCAACCCAGGACTCGTCTTTTCGTGGAGGTGGCTGATGAGGACCGGGAACATGGGTTTGGGCATCTCGCCGTGCAGAGCGGATAGAGCTACTACAGTATGTCAAAAGGAGGATAGCCATAGTGAAAGCTGCAATAGGAGCATTGAGAGACTAGATCGATATCAGTATTAAAAGACTCATTTGATATGAAAGCGGAGGAAGGATTGGAGGATTTGGCTAAGAAATCAAGTGGCCTGATAGTGTTTATATTGGTCTGTGCAATGCATTTGTACATACCCCTTTTGGCTTCCCTAATGCTTTGTTTGGTTCGGTCATCGTGTCCACGTCCGGGTTTGGTTTTGGCTTAGGCTTGAGCTTGAGCTATCGACCTTTGCCGGCCGAACTTGTTTAAATAGAGGCGCAGATTCTATTTGACAATGGACAATTGAGCAAAGTTGCGGAAATCCAAGTAGAAACCAACTAGACGAGGAATAGCTAAGGATGGCACAGGTGATGGTAAAGGTGACAATTATAGGTGGTGGGAGGCGGAGAGTCGGAGAGTTGCGGCGCCAGATAGAAGAAGCCTTATCGCGATGCCGCCGTTCTCAAGACAACCACTTTCTTACCATAGCTTAACAGTGATGGCTTCTGATCCCACCCCTCCGAGAAGGGGCATGTCCCTGTATGCCAACCTACTAAATCCGTCTGGCGATACACCCGGTACCATCTCCCGTGCCCCTGTTGTCTTTAAGCAGGCGGAGACAGAACCTCAACCCGATGACGCGGGCGTCAAAAAGCAACAGCTGAATCCTGGTATTTACCCTCGACTTGTTAATATCGGAGCGGCACATGCTGACTTGCGGTTTTTTTTTCATAGCATCCCTTCGATTCCAACCCCCCAAAAGACCACAGCTCTCAGCCCAGAAGCCAAAACCGAAACATACTTTACCCAAGGCACCTCAACCACAGCCCTCAGCTAACCCTTCGATACCGACAAAGAGCACCTTGGCTGATTGGACAGCCGTTGAAGATGACGAGTATGAGTACGCCCGTGAAAAGCGACAGCGTGGTGGGAGAAAGAAGCGCAAGAAGAACTTTGAAACACATGTTGTCCAAAACTGGGAAGATATCTACGACTCTTCTCGGCCTACAAATTGCGCGGAATACGGCCATAGCGACGAGAAGATTGGTGAAGTCCGCGAGTGGAAGGATAGCTTGTATGCGCTTGCTAGGAAGCGCTCACCGAGCAGGTATTCCGATAGCGATGATTATGACCAGCCAAAAAAGCGTATGTTCGGGTCTTTTACGATGGGTGACGATATCCAGGCTAATCAGATATCACCAGAACAATTTGCGCCTCCAAGCAACTTTGCGCCGCCGCCAAACCTCAATGATGTGCAACCACCAGCTTCTATCCCCAATGACACATCTGGGGACGATGCATTTGCTCGCCGTGCAGCATTAGGGCAACGCCTCGACAATGATTCAATCGCTGCTCACGCACAAATCCCGCCTTCGCCTCCACGCCGAGCTGAAGATCCTACTCCAATTTCTGATGGCCCACCATCGGGACAAACCATACCACCTCCACCACCACGCCCCCTTGACGCCTTCCAGCCAAGCTCTGCAACCATATCCCGCGCACCAGTCCGATACAATCTTCCGCCACCCCCAGAAGAAATCCCAGCCTCCGAAGCTGAACTTGAAGCCGCATTGGCCCAAGATCAACCGGCAGACGAGGAAGAACCAGACGAGTCCGCTCCACGGTCTCTTCGTCCCGGGCAACAAGGTTTCGCAGAACGACTGCTTTCCAAGTATGGCTGGACCAAGGGTTCCGGCCTCGGCGCTACTGGTTCTGGTATGGTGAAGCCGCTACAGGTCAAGCTTGAGAAGCGAAAGAAGCGACCAGACTCAGAGGGTGGTGGCTTTGTCACACCTGCCGGGCGAGGTAAGATCATTGGAAGCAACAAGAAGGGCGAATATGAAACCAGCAAGTTTGGCCCTATGAGCGAAGTGGTCATCCTACGGGGCATGTTGAACGGTATGGACCTGGATGCGGAGATAGAGGGAAGTCATAATGGTGGCTTGGTGCAGGAGATTGGAGATGAATGCAAAGAGAAGGTACGTTTCCTTTTTAGATTGGCTTGGGTGCTTTTACTAACTTCCGGGACTCATAGTATGGAGACGTGGAGCGAGTCGTCATCCCTCGCGACGTCGGAACCCCAGTCCCGGTCTTGATCAAATTTACTCATCCCTTGTCTGGTCTACGGGTAAGCTTTTGATATCTACGTCTTGATTCAAATGTGAGTTGTGCATTGCTGACTATTGCATATCCATTAGGCCGTGAACGCGCTCGAAGGCCGGATCTTCAATGGCAACGAAATCACGGCACGATTTTTTGATCTCGACAAGTTCAACCAAGGGATTTACACAGTCTAGTTGCCCATGTTCGTCCTCTCTTATACGACATGACATCTCGATTATATGCTAATTTGTGCATTCTCGACTATTGCACGGCAACAAAATCATAGCAAGGCCTCTCGGACCGAGGAGTATGACCGGGGTTTTACATGGCCAATTGCTTATGTTTATACCCTTTCATATTATTAATTAGCTATGTTAATGATAATGCTCGATTTCATTTGATGTTGCTCTAGTGAAGTCTCATTGCGATGTTCCCTAGGATTACTCTAGGATTACTCTAGGATTACTCTAGGATTACTCTAGGATTACTCTAAAGTAAAACAAAATGCAGACTATGAATCATCTCAACATTCAATCACCTAATCTCCTATGAAACATCAAAAATTTCTATCCTACTACTCTATTCCATCAATCTATTGCTCCGACAACTTCTTAACAGGAAGGGGAATCCAGGAACGCCAAGTCCGATGATACTTCTTCGGTTTAGGAGTGCCGAGGAAAGGCTCTGTGTCCAACATATCGTCATCAGTGCTGAACGCCATATATGTAACATTCTGCTCGTTGCGCACCAACCTAGTAGGACGAGGAATCAAAGAGCGCCAGCGCCGACTCGTCTGGGGCTGAGGCTCCTGCAAAGGCTCATCTTCAACATCTTCATCATCTGCGTAGTCATCAGCATATCCAACCAAAGCGACACAAGACAAGTGAGGTGAGGACTGGTGCACTATGGTCGGCGTTCGTGTGGGACCCTCGTGGAATGATACACTGGTCTCCCGGTTCTCAGCTCGCTCAGCGAATGTCCTAGTAGTCAAGCTGGGAGACTGGGGAATCCACGTTTCCATATCTAACTCGTCGGCATCGCTGTCATCGATATTCCAGCCGTCTTCGTCGCTGTATTGGAATGCACCGTTGAGCGCAGACAGAACATCTTCTCTCCGCCAGTCGCGAAAGACAGAGTGGCGTAGCAGCAGCTGGTTAAGCCTGCATTGCGCACAATTCCCTATAATCGAGAAAAAGAATGTGCTTTGCGCTTCGGCACACTCGTAGCCTACTATGAAGGCTCTGCGGCACATGATCAGGCGAGTTGCTTCCGGGTCCTGGTGCTGGCATAGGGCATAGTACCAGACGATGGAATGACACATTGTGGTAAACAATAGTAAGTAACTTTGGGATGTTTCTTGTAAATATTGCTCATAGGAGTTTCACTAAGGGCTCTTGATTGTGGTTGGGAGGAGTATGATAGATGAAACGAGCAGGTCCTCCTTTATACGCCTCAACCCAGATTCCAAAGTATGTTGGCATCTGCCGGCAAACTGTTGTTGGAAAGAGCCTTTTCGAGGATCAATCCGGCCGGGGTTCGAATAAAGAAACATTCGCTCGCTGAGTCGTTGGTTTTTAATAGCTATTGTTCTGGGTGGAAGGCATTATGTTTAGAGCATTTTTGGCTCTTTGTTACCCTGGAGGCCTTTGTCCATAACTTTGTATGCGAAGGATAATGACTCTTGAAATAAATCGTATTTATGGAGGTTGGAATATCAGGGACTTAATTCTATCAGGTAGGGTTGGTCGGAAGTCCATAACTAGCTTGCTGCTCTATATGAACATCTTGCTGGATATCACCAACTAAATTGCTATACCTTTGACCGATATCAATACAGCATAAACGTAGATATATGCCATAAATAGGACTAGTATATTCGAGATCCACACTCCCCGAACCATGCTTAGCTACTATGTATTTCTATAGTCATATTTTCCGCCTACAATTTACCTGCTACTTAGGGCTAGGTACGTAACTACTAAGCTGCTTAGCAAGAAGGAATTTGTATTTGCCCACGGGTTAGCAAAGCCTCACTTTATTTGTTACTGCAATTGGTAAAACTTTAGACCAGATAATGATTCTTCTGTTTGTCTCACCATCCTCTTTGTTGACACGCGAAGCACGCTTGTTTCCCCCCTCAAATCGTGTAGCTTCACCGCATATTTTCTACATCTCATTTCTCTATGTATGCAATTACTACATCAAATGATAAACTGTGTAAGACAATCAACAACCTGGACCAACACTAAGGAGAGATATAACTGTGGCACCGTGTAGCATCACGAACTAGTCAAGACCTCGGCACCTTGTCTTTGAGGGTTCTATGCGGCTCATGACACAGAAAAGGAGCTGTAATTGAAGACTCTAGCCTTTTCACTGGTCTGATTGATTGAGCTCACATTGCCAACATTAATTTATAGCAACCTAGGCGCTAAAAGTGCAAGTATCTAGTCCTATACATAGTAGTACTTCTATCGGAGAAGTAGAAGAAACGATAATAGATTAGGACCGCTAGACAAATGTAGTGATTCTATAACCATATAGAAGATAGCAAAAAGAAAACACTGCAGAACCAGTTGTAATTGCTATCTACACCTAACAATAGAAGTGAGGCTCCCTAGTAGGTTCCTGGACCAGGCCGCCTGCATGCATTACATAAGCAAACTCATTGTTCGCGTGGGGAGGTCAATTGCTATCACCTCCCAAGCTTTGACGATTGCCACCTTTAAAATCTCCCACTCGTCCCCTTACCTCTTTCTCCCTCTCTTATTACCCACCAGTCAGCCAGCCATCGGGATCTACACCCTATTTTCGGCCAAGTTGCATCCTTCTGCTGCTTGATTCTTCCATCCTCCGCCAGTCAACCCGTTTCAGCTACTCATCCGCTGAACACTCCCCGAGATGTCGTTGTGCCAGAACCGTCTCCAAGAAGAGCGGTAAGAATATCTCTTATCCCGTTGATTCCGCGATTCTGCGCATAATTTGCGCCACGCCCTTCCCCGCACTAACATTCATGGAATCCCTAGAAAGCAATGGCGTCGCGATCACCCATTTGGCTTTGTCGCAAAGCCTAAACGTGCCCCGCAGGGTGGCCTGGATCTGAAGAACTGGGAATGTGCTATTCCAGGGAAGGCTAACACTCTCTGGGAAGGTGGACTTTTCAAGATTGACTTGATTTTCCCTGATGGTGAGTGGCGCAATACATTCACTACTGAAGATCCTCATACTAATCTACATTCTTTTCATGCTTCTAGAATACCCTACCAAGCCTCCCAAATGTATGTATCATTTTTGCGATATACCGGAATGGGAGCTATCACTATGATCCTTTCTGATTTCTCATGATAATCTCATACTAATAATCGACTCTTCAGGCAAATTCACACCAGCACTTTTCCACCCTAATGTCTACCCTTCCGGAACAGTTTGCCTGTCAATTCTGAATGAGGAGGAGGGCTGGCGACCTGCCATCACAATTAAGCAGCTCTTGCTCGGCATCCAAGATCTCCTGGACGACCCGAACCCCGAGTCACCTGCACAGGCTGAGGCTTACAACCTCTTCAAGAAGGACCGTCCTCAATACGAACGCAGGGTTCGCATGGCTGTCAAGGAAAACCAGCCCAATTAGGAAACTAGCCCAATCAGGCTCTGAGTTACCCAAGCGTAAACAGCGATGGCGCTGCATGGGTCATTTACTTTTTTTTTTCTTTCAGCATGGGATACTGCGGAGATTGTGGGAAGATTATGCATTTATTTTTAAAGGAAGGGAACAACTTTTGCTTTTCTGTCGCGAGCATGGCGTTCTACATATCCCAATGGATGGCGTTTTCTGGGCTTAGGGTCATTCCGAAACAATGATACCACATACATGGCCCTGCCGGGATACCTAGGCTTGCCATGTATTGAGTTCAGGATGACCCTCGCAGAGGCGACTTGATGTCGTACCTATCTGCTCCTGTGAGGTAAAATCATCTGAGCAGCCAGCACAACATCCAAACCTCTCTGCACTGATGCAACATGAGCCCATGGTGGGTGTCTTGGAAAGCTGCATTTAACTTCCACTTTCAATTAACAAGACACCAATGTATTTACTTGATGAAGCCTTTCTTCAATTGGAATTTCAAGATTATAGGATTGTGTACTGAACACTGCGTCATATTTACCAATCCAGCTAGCGCGAGTCCAAGGCACCGTGATGGAGACATCGAGACATCACATTAAATAGGCACCGGGCTGTGTATGTCTCTTTGAACTCACCATTTCAGCATTGAGTGTGAGAAGATCAAGATGATACCATAACACCTGCTCTTGAGGCCCAAAATGAGAAGCCAGAAAAGATATTGTCTCGCATAGATCTTTATGGCCTCAATATGGAGACGAGTGTGATCTTGTCTTTGTGACTCTCGCTTTCTCCTTAGAATTGGCTTTCCCAGCTGTCTTCATAGTACAAAAAATGTTAAAGATCACGGAGCAACACAAGAAACTTTCCCTAAATGAGACTAAACTCCAATTTCCAACAGTGCTTCTAGAAGCAATCGACAGACATCCTTATAGAACGAAACAAGCTCATGATCAGCATATATTTCAGTTTCCTGAAACGGACAAGGAGGGGCTTGGCTAGGGTTAGATAGTTCATGGTGGGGTATATATCAGTCACGTGATCTTGAATCGATGATTCTCCAAGGATCTATACTTCAATAGTCATATGACGCGGCAAAAAGAACCCGCATATACTGACAGATCTTGCCACCGCAGCTAAAATCTCTAAACCCGACAAGCTAATTGGTGTAAACTTGAAATTGGCCCAGGATGCCCACAGGCTATCTTATCGGTGACTCAAAAGACTTGCCGACATCGCCCCGCCGGGAGGGCGGGCACCCAATTTGAAAAAAATCGCCGCTCAGAGGTTCCCCATATAATCGCACGATTAGTCAATTTCAGCCCGTACCCTTCTTCTTCTTCTCTCTGTCCTCCTGAATTGATCTTCATCTCTACCCCGGTTCCTAATTGCCCATCATGTGTGGAATTTTCGCGTGCCACCAGTGCGTCATGTCCTACCCTAACTCCCGGCCTCTAGTGGGATGTCAATTTGCGGAATACTAACCAGACTCCTATAGTCATCCCGATGTGCAAAAGTTCAAGCCTACAGCTTTGCGCATGGCCAAGGCGTGAGTATCTCTTTCAATTGCTGCAATTTGCAATTGGCAACAGAATGCTGACTCGTGTCCTGATCATAGTGTGCGCCATCGCGGTCCCGATTGGAGTGAGTCACAATCCGAGTCGCAATGTTGCGCAGTATGTGGGAGGATCATGGGATTAACGAAGGCTTTTTTACAGGTGGAAACTTCTGCGCTCAGAGCACTAGTGAGTTAACACGCAATGACTTCGGTTTCGGCGTGGTATGCTAATATCGTGGTTCAGTCCTGGCGCACGAGCGTCTGAGTATCGTCGGTGTTGGTATGTGGTCCCTATGAACGATGGAATTTGAAGATCGATATGTTGACAAAATATTCTTAGACTCCGGTGCCCAGCCCCTTGTCAACGATGACAGCACCCTTGCCCTCGCGGTCAACGGTGAGATCTACAACCACCGCCTCATTCGCAAGCACCTTCGCCACAAGTACAACTTTAAGACACACTCCGATTGTGAAGTTATCCTCCCCTTGGTATGTCAGGCCAATCATAAGTGAATCGGAATTAAGTGAATCGGAATTAAGAATCGGAATGCTGATATATAGTAGTATGAGGAGTACGGCCTCGATTGCCCCAAGCACCTTGATGGCATGTTCTCTTTCGTTCTCTGGGACAAGAAGAAGGACCGTGTTGTTGCTGCCCGTGACCCCATTGGTGTCACCAGCTTCTACCTTGGCCGGTCCTCATCGACTCCCGGCGCCGTCTACTTTGCCTCCGAGCTCAAGTGCCTGCACCCCGTCTGCGACGAGATCATTGCTTTCCCCCCGGCCACATCTATGATTCCAGCACCGACACCATGACCCGCTACTTCGAGCCCAAGTGGTGGGACCCCGCCAACGTCCCCACGACCCCGGTTGACTATAAGGTGATCCGCCACAGCCTCGAGAAGGCCGTCCGCAAGCGTCTGATGGCCGAGGTGCCCTACGGTGTTTTGTTGTCTGGTGGTTTGGACTCCAGCTTGGTCGCATCTATCGCCCAGCGCGAGACCCTCCGCTTGGCCGAAGCTGCCCGCAACATTCCCCAGAACACCAACGCGGACGCTGAGTTGGTTGGAATCAACGAAGAAAACGAGCTGTCCACCGTCACCACTTTCCAACAGTTGCACTCATTCTCCATCGGTCTTCCCGGTGCCCCCGATACCGCGGCTGCCCTTGAGGTTGCCAAGTTCCTCGGCACCAAGCACCACCCCTTCACCTTCACTGTTCAGGACGGCCTCGATGCCCTCTCTGACGTGATCTACCACCTCGAGACCTACGATGTGACCACCATTCGTGCCTCTACTCCCATGTACCTGCTCTCCCGTAAGATCAAGGCCATGGGTGTCAAGATGGTTCTGAGTGGTGAGGGTTCCGACGAGATCTTCGGTGGCTACCTTTACTTCCACGCTGCTCCTAACAAGGAGGAGCTCCACAAGGAGACTGTCCGCCGTATCAAGAACTTGCACTTGGCTGACTGCCTCCGTGCCAACAAGTCCACCTCCGCATGGGGTCTTGAGGCCCGTGTTCCTTTCCTCGACAAGGAGTTCCTTGAGACCGCCATGGGTGTTGACCCCAAGGACAAGATGATCACCCCCGAGCGTATCGAGAAGCACATGCTGCGCAAGGCCTTTGACACCACCGATGAGCCTGGAAACCCTCCCTACTTGCCCGACAACATCCTCTGGCGCCAGAAGGAGCAGTTCAGTGATGGCGTTGGCTACAGCTGGATTGACGGCCTGAAGGATGAGGCCGAGCGCCAGGTCACCGACGAGATGATGAAGAACCCTAAGGCCGAATGGGGTACTGATGTTCCCGACACCAAGGAGGCGTATGTTTCCCACTTCTTTTTTTCATATTATAGTACCATTGAAAACTAACCTACGCTATAGATACTGGTACCGTACCATGTTCGATGAGCACTTCCCTCCCTACTGTGCCGGCACTGTCGAGCGATGGACCCCTACCTGGTCCAAGCAGAGCGATCCCAGTGGAAGGTGAGCTATTATTTCCCCTATTCTTGATTATTTTCTTTAACCATCCTTTGCAGAGCCATCGCCATCCACAACCAGAAGTATGAGAAGTCGGTGGAGTAAAAGTCTGAGAGCATGTAAACAAAAGGATCCGAACTTTCCCTTCTGATCTAGCATTTTATTTGGGGGATATAGCACCGGATTAGATTGTATATGTGTACCCTTTTGGTGTATAGTCGGTATAATGTTATGATTCCAATGTCTTTGAATGTCTTCCCATAAACACGTGACATACCCTGCCCAAACATTCCCGGCGGGCTTTCCCGGCAGCCGGGCAACCGCCAATCACCGACCTCCCACTAACCCGTGCTAAGCCCCTAGGTTCCCCCAACATCATCACATCTCTTCCTTCCCTTCCTCTCTTCTCATCTCTTCCTAGAACCAGCTCTTCCTCCTCCATCTTCAATTAGATTTTTCTCGTCAAGATGTCTGCCCCCGCTGCTTTCTCCGATATCGCCAAGGCGACCAACGATGTACGCACAACTGTTGGGGACAAAACTCGGAACCTTGGCTAATACCTAATCCCAATAGCTCTTGAACAAGGACTTCTACCACGGCGCTGCCGGTACGTTTCTGCATGGCATTGCGCCACCCATTGAAGATTAAATAGCTAATTAAAGCTTTTAGCCAACCTTGAGGTCAAGTCCAAGGCTCCCAACGGTGTCACCTTCACCGTTAAGGGAAAGTCTGCTCACGAGGGCCCCATTGCTGGTCAGGTTAGTTGCAAAGCTATTTCTGAATCCAGTTATGCAAATTACTAACTAGTGCGCCTATAGCTCGAGGCCAAATACGTTGATGCGCCTACTGGTAAACGCCCCCTCCAGAAGAAACCCCCAGATCCCGGCGCGCACAATGCCCGTCTTATGTCATTGATGTTCGGATGCGGTATTCCAATAGCGCGCCGGGTGAACCTATTTATTTTTTCCGATGCCAAGGTACACAGGATTAGGCTAATATGCTCACTCCGACCAGGCCTCACCCTCACCCAGGCTTGGACCACCGCCAACGCTCTCGACACCAAGCTCGAGCTCGACAACAACATCGCCAAGGGCCTCAAGGCTGAGATCCTTACCCAGTACCAGCCCGCTAAGCAGTCCAAGGGTGCTAAGCTCAACCTGTACTTCAAGCAGCCCAACCTGAACGCCCGTGCCTTCTTCGATTTGCTGAACGGCCCCTCCGCCAACTTCGACGCCGTTCTCGGCCACGAGGGCTTCCTCGTCGGTGCTGAGGGTGGTTACGACGTCAACAAGGCCGCCATCACCAAGTACTCCGCTGCCGTCGGCTACAGTGTTGCCCAGTACTCCGCTGCCATCACTGCCAGCAACAACCTGTCCCTTTTCTCCGCCAGCTACTACCACCGCGTCAACGCTCAGGTTGAGGCCGGTGCCAAGGCTTCTTGGGACTCCACATCCGGCAACGCCGTCGGCCTCGAGGTCGCCAGCAAGTACCGCCTGGACCCCTCTTCCTTCGCCAAGGTTCGTTTTACGCGGTTAAACTGCTTATATAACTATGTAGATCACGACTAATCGCGCAATTTTCTCGCAATTTAGGCCAAGATCAACGACCGTGGTATTGCCGCTCTGGCTTACAACGTCCTGCTCCGCCCTGGTGTCACCCTCGGCCTCGGTGCTTCCTTCGATACCCAGAACCTGAACCAGGCTGCCCACAAGGTCGGCGCCAGCTTCACCTTCGAGTCTTAAGCTTCTAGAGCTTAAGCCTTCCAGAAACCTGACAGATGGCCTACCATCTTTTGGGAAGATTATTGTAAACTTCAGTTATTAGTTCACTTGTCTTGCTGATTCACCAGAACGATGATTATGGTGGAGTTCGTCCAAGATAGTAACGATGTGTGTCGTGGATTTTCTGCTCGATCACTTTTTTTGTATATCAAATCAACTGTTTCTTTGATCAATTCGATTGATTTGTATGGTATAAAGCACTACGAGGTGTGCCCGTAGATATGCAAAAGTAGGAGTACATCAACCAGCAATGCACTTGACTATATATACCAAGAAACTACATGTATCCAAGTATGAGTGATAAACAACTCCGTCAAGAAGACAAAGCCCCCTTCTGCTGCTTCCTCGTCTTCCTCCCATCAACAGCATTGGGAACCGACCGCCAAAAGTCCACCACAACAAGCATAACAATTAGACAACCGGAACAAAGAAAGAACCTCGAAATCGTCTGATCAACCCTAGGATCAACCTCATCCTCATCAATCCTCCTAGCTCCCTGCCTCCTATTGCTCCTCCTCCTATCCTCCGCCGCCTGCGTCCGGAAATGACTCTGAGCATTGAAATGATGCAACGGATTCCGGTGAATAAACCCCTCCCAATCCTCCGGATCATCCTGTTTCGTCCCAGCGCCAGCGCTAGCCCCGAATTCCGAAGCACCACCAGCAGGCGCCCGACCCTGCGCCTGCCTCCCCGTAGCACCATACCCACCCTGCTCGTAGAAACTAGGCGGCGGACCGTGGAACGCTGAGCGCCGCTTGCTCAGCCCGCTGGCGGGCCGTGAGCCGGCGTAGCTGCTGTGGCTGCCCATCGGGTGTTGGTGGCTGTGGCTTTGGCCTGGGGAGGCGTGGTGCGCGCTGTGGAAGCCGTGGTCGCGGTCGTAGACTGCGCGCTTTGAGTCGTTGCCGAGGACGTTGTAGGCGGCGGAAATGCGGGCGAAGCGTTGGCTTGCGTCTGGGTCGGTGCGGTTGCGGTCTGGGTGGTGGCGCATTGAGAGGGCGTAGAATTGTCTGGAGGTTGGGTAGGTAAGTATTTAGAGAGATATATGGGGTTGGAGATTGAGGGGTGGAGGAGGGCTGGTGTTGGTGTGGGTGGTGTACTTCTTGATCTCCGCTGATGATGCGGTTGTGGGGATGTCGAGGATTTCGTAGAAGTTTTGTTCGCGCGCCCGGGTTGGATTGCTGGTTGAGAATGAGGATATGGTTGGTTTTGTGAATTGTTGTTGTTGTTGGCGTGGGTGTAATTGCGGTCGGAGGGGTTGGGTTGAGATGCTCCGGTATGTTGAAGGGGAGGGAGAGAGGGTCGCGCGCGGAAAGAGAAGAATTGCTGTTACTCGAGATGGAGGCATTGTCGTGTATTTAGGGTGTTACATCGAAATCAATAGAGAAATAAGAGCCAGGGTAGGTTGGGGGAGGGGTGGAAGAGGGAGAGAGGGAGAAGCGGAAGAAGACTGGAGGTGAAGATCTCAGTGGCGTCACAGCGGTTTGAAGTTGATCGACTGTACAAAATTACCACATATTTATTACTGGCTACTGGGGAATTCTACATATGCATTCTATTTGGTCTCTTTCATCTCTGGGAACAACACAGTCAATATAACCTACACTCACGTGGGCAGTTGCAATCCCCATAACTAGTTAGCTCCTGATGATCAGATTAGATAAGAGATAGGTTACGCCATTTCGGGCATCAAAACGGTTTGATCCAATGAGAACACTCCCTGGCCGGTTTGGGATGGATACCTAAGGATCTACGGAGTACATATTGTGGGATTGTAGTTTCTTTCGTTATAGGGGTTGCAGATGCCCTCTATGAGCTTCGCTTCGGTGGTATCTCATTGCAGCTGATGAAATAGGATTCCGCTTAGGATAGTCGGTGCCTTAGGAATAGGGTGTATAAGCAGTATGAAAGTGGGACTGATATAAATGAGACTAGGGCTTATTGGTGCTATGGTCCCGACAATATGGGAAGTATACATCAAGCGCTTAGGAAGTCGTAATAAATATATAGACCAATCCTATCGTGCCCGTGCCTGGGCCCCTTCAAGGATAATCGGCGCATCGCGCATTGCTTCTCCTTATGTCTCATATTCGCACTAAAATTCCAACGGCGCTTACGGCACTGGATGAAAGACCCAGAACATGTCAAGCGTCTCAGCCACGAAACAGTTCCTGCATTACGGCTTCTATTTGAGTATGATTATGGGCAATCACCCACTCTCCCGGGCTTGAAAATCCGATTACGGAAGAATTTCTAATTGAGCGCTTAAAATAATCTCGCCTTTCAACCGACTCTTGATATCATTTCCAAATGAAGACAACTGAAAATGAAGTTGAAGCTCTTCTTTGACAAGGATATGGAATAGCTAGGGGCTTTGTTTCTGCATATACCCTTGTACTCGCTAGTATCCATAAATAGACAATGAAGCGCCAACCCCCCTTTCACAATGTATAGCGCTGTTGTTATACCCTTTGAGACTATATTGGATTTCTGGATCAAAGAGCTACCACACACGAAGAACAAGGCGTTGACTTGAAACACTGGCTTTATTCAACGTAAAACACGATTCAAAGCAGGTCCCTGGAGAACCTGTATAAATCCTCCGATGTCCCATCACATAGATTCAGATCTGAGAAACCACCTGGTATTATAATCAAAAGAGACAGACAGATTTGGTCCTTTTTTTCTTTGAAACACACATCTTCTCCCAATACAATCAAACTATATCGAAATATGACGACTCTTTCAGAGCTCCCTAATGAGATGCTGCTGGAGATCTCCCTCCACCTTGACTACCGTGACCTCAATGCATTCACACGGGTCAGCCGCCACTTCCATGCTCTGTCAAACAGGAATCTTTACAAAGCCATCGCCAAAGACTCACCTGGGAAGTCGATAGCCTGGGCAGCCGAAAAAGGCAAGGAAGCTAGTGCGCGGAAACTGTTGCAGATGTGCGGCTCGAAGATATTGGACGACCTCCCCATCTTCGAAGGGCAAGAACCAATAAGGATTGCCGCATGGAAGGGGCACACCAATCTTGTCAAATTGTTCCTACCCTACTGCATTCAACATGACACCGAGAAAGAAGGAGATCTATTCAACAGGACGGTCAAGGCTGCAGTCACAAGCGAGCATATGGCAGTAGTCAAACTGCTCCTCGAACACAAGGCCGATTGCAAAACCAACAGCCACGATAGACATGCTGCAATTCCTTTATGCAAGGCTGTCGAACTGGGACATGTATCAATTGTCAGGCTTTTTCTCGAGTACAATTACTGCAACCTCGATACATATGACCTGCGTGGTATGACACCTCTAGCGGTAGCTGCTGCTACAAGACCTTCACCCGCAAATCTGGAGATTGCCCAACTCTTGGTTGGGGCTGGTGCAGATTTGCATATATATGACAAACTGTTACTCGAAGCCGCGGGATCAGACAACCTCCCCGTCATGAAGCTCCTCCTAGCGAACAACCTCCATTGGCGGCAATTGGGATGGTTGGAAGTCTTGTGGGAATTCTCTCGACTAAGGGAAAACCACGAGATGGGGTCATTGCTACTAAACTGGATTGATGCGGATCGCATATTGAAGTACGATAATCTTCAACGTTGTTATCTCTTAAAGGGGGCGATTGTGAACCGCCTTGACGATCTGTTAGAGAAGGTATTGAAAGAGTCGTCCGTCCTCGATAAATACCATCAACCAAACCGAAGGGCAATCCATTTCTGCCCTTTGAGTTTGGCTGTCTGCTATGGCCGGCCTAGGGCTGTCAAGCTCTTACTAGACCATGGCGCTGACCCTACTGGTGAAGGCAACTCTCGACCGGTACAATTAGCCCTCGAAAAAGGAAAGGATACAATGGCGAGGCTGCTATTTGACAAAGGAGCCACATTTGATCCGGATATGTGTTTTGGGTCATCCGAATACCGTCAATTATTGAAGCTTCGTATGGCTCGGGTGCAAAGGAGACCTGTTAATTAAGATCTATAGTTATCCTTGTGAGATGAAAATTGTATACAGTATTAAAGCACAGATTTAATTCCTTGGTTTGACTTATTAGCTAATTTGGAATGTCCTAGGCCCTGAGCTATTAGCATATTTATTTGATACAATTAGATAACTCTTCTCTGCTGGTAATAAGCTACATACATACCTATACTCAATTCAACTATTCATTAGGACAAGGGTAGACCTTGCGCCAATAATAATGCCAGAGGGTCTTTTGCATGGCCAAAGAGGGTCTTTTCTTTTCCCAACTAGAGCCACGAGAATCGTCAAACGGGGCCGTCGCTGCCAATATATGAGACTTTATTGCACTGATCGGAACGTTTGGATCAACATATTCCAGCAGCATTTTGACCGTTTCAATATCATTTCTGCATGCAGCCGCGGCCGCGGTCAAGGCAGACTTCCCACTTCTGTTCATAAATAGAGGATCGGCCCCTTTCTCTAATAGAAGCTTTGTTGCCAGTAATTCGTAGTCACTAGTTTCGTTAAAGTTTCGTTCTCGCTCAAAATCGTGTGCGTCCGCCTTGGTCTTGGTTATTTCTTCGACGAAATATTTAGTAGCGCCAACGTTTTTTCTAGCTACTCCCGAGACTGTGCAGAGCAGAGGCGTGTGATTGCAAGAGCCAGTTAGTTGGTTGACCTGCACGCCATGTTCTAGCAAAAGATCAACTGCAGCTTCCGCGGCATTTCGATCTTTCGCCTGAGCCGCGAGAGCGAGAAGTGTGACACCTCTGTTTTCATCGAGCGTCAATTCCAGGCCGAATGTGCCATAGTTTAAACCCTGCGCCTCCAGGCTGAAACCAGCATCCAAAAATATCTTCAAGATAGGCACATTAGCTAACAAAGCAGCGCATACAAATGCGCGGTCGTGTTCAACATAGCCCGGTTGTAGTTGTACTCCATGCTCGAGGAGTAATTTGAAGACGGCTTCTCCTCCTAAGACTGCGAGCTGAATCGACAGGCCATCATTTGACAACGCTATATCTTCGATTGATGGACTAGAACTCTCGAAAAGCATTTGGAGGATCTCCACTTTGCCTAGATAAAGTGCTCTGTTAAAAAGGGCATTCCCATGTTCTGACGCAAATACGACATCAAAGCCCTTGTTAATGAGGTACTTCACGACATCATCATGGCCTCGGTCAAGTGCAACAATCATTGAAGGAGGGCAAAGATCGAAGTCCCAGTTTCCATCTGTGTCTTTCTCCACAATGATTGCAGGATAAGACACGGCTTCCGTAAGAGATCCGCCATATTTGAGCAACAACTCTATCATTCCGATATGGCCAGATGCAATAGCGAGAGCCATTAAATCTCTATGCCCACATTCACAAGTCCAGTCTTCGAAGACAGTGTTCCACGCTAATCGTAGTCTCTTCATCAGATCCTCGAAGCCGCCAGATACCGCGCCACACAGAAGCTTAGATCGTGCACCTCTGCTAAAATTGATTGTGTGGTCTAAATCAATCTTCTTCAGGAGGAAAGACGCTAATATGTTGTGCTCTCCGGCTACCTCGTCAACCATATTCAGAATGGCCTCGGTATCAAAAACAATGGCTTGTTCGAAGGCGTAATAAATGAACGGCTCATTGCCGGTTTCCAAGGCAAGTGAGAATGCATATTGACCTGAACACTTGGACCAGAGATTAGCCCCCGCATCAACCAAAAGACGGATGATTTCCATAGTCGTGCTTGTAGCAGGGATTGAGGCAAGATAATCCAAAGGGGCCTTCCCAGACCAACAACTATTAGGATCACAACCTCCTGCAAGCAGAAGTTTGATGATAGGAATATGCCCCTTCATCACTGCCAAGCATAATGATAGGTTGCACCACCTCTTTTTTTCCCGGGGTTCTGCACAGCGTTTGATAAATCCACGTTCAATTAAGAGACTGACAACTGAAATATGACCCTCTAGCACTGCGACAGACAATGGGTTTCCGAAGCGAACAAGGCAAGTAATATCAATGGAGAACATGATGCTTTTTTCGTTGATCGCTGGAGTCGGGTCTCTTCCGTAGTCGAGGAACATTCGGACAACATCAACATGACCACGCTTTGCAGCTATTGTCATAGGATCATCGCACTGCCTGCACCAGCCGGTCTCATTGTCCCTGGTGAACGAATCATTAGGCAACGTACCTGCGTTTAGCAGCTTGCGCACACACATTTCCTTTCCATTCGCTGCAGCCCATGCCAGAAGTTGGAGAGACTGCTCCGTCTTGAGAAGTTTGTCGACTCTGTCTTTTAACAAATTATACAGAAGAGAATGACATTGATAGAGGGATCCGAGATCGGAAACAAATTCTAGATACGAAGATACCTGCAGTAGCAGTTCAACGGGGAGTTGAAGTAGCGACATGGCTGTGGTTCAACAGTAGAGAGCGTAAGCAGGAAAGGTTGTATGGTAGTAGAAGTATTGAAGTGTACAACATGACTCATGTAGAGCTTCAGGATTGTCATCATGAGGGCAAATTGTCGTAGTTTCATGCGATACTGTCAGTCTGTAACAGGTCTAGTAACACGCCAAGGAAACCGCCAAGAAAATCTAAGTCGCCTTATCTTATCAGCAAAACTCTTTCCCCGACACCCGACATTCCCCTCTTGCCTTTGAACATACGATTTGTTTAATTGCCACATTCAAGATGGCAGCTCAGACTACGGAGAAGTTGGATCATTTGGACCGTAAGATCCTCGTTTTTTTTGTTTACTTCTCTCATGTGTGACTGATCAGAGACCAGTGAACGTCCAAGCCGCCCCCACGGCAGATCAGGTTCCCGCCGAAGCGGAGGAGGACTCGGACGACGCCCAAGACGGCGAGGGTGCCGCAGAGACTGGAGCTGCTGGGGGTAAGTTTTGTTGAAGTTTATTTCCGTGACCGCGCTTCCAGAACCCCACCCCACCCCACAGGAGTCGACCGGAACTAATGGCGGGGTCACCTCTAGCCGATAAAAAGAAGAAGAAGAAGAAGAAGCCCAAGAGGAAGCCCAAGAAGAAGGGTGGTGCCAAGGGCCAGAGCGAGCCACCGCGCGTTCCTGTGTCTAACCTCTTCCCCAATGGCCAATACCCCGAGGGCGAGATCGTCGAATACCTAAACGACAATGCCTACCGTACCACCAACGAAGAAAAACGATACCTCGATCGCATGAATAATGACTTCCTGCAGGAGTACCGCCAGGGTGCCGAGGTTCACCGTCAAGTCCGCCAGTATGCGCAGAAGAACATCAAGCCCGGCCAGACTTTGACTGAGATCGCGGAGGGCATCGAGGATTCAGTGCGCGCCCTGACAGGTCACCCAGGTCTGGAGGAAGGTGATAACACCAAGGGTGGTATGGGCTTCCCTTGTGGTTTGAGCATCAACCATTGCGCTGCGCATTATACCCCGAACGCGGGCAACAAGATGGTCCTGAACCAGGGAGACGTGATGAAGGTCGACTTCGGTGCGCATCTTAACGGCCGCATTGTGGACAGTGCTTTCACCATGACTTTTGACCCAGTGTACGATCCTCTTCTCGCTGCCGTGAAGGACGCCACCAACACCGGTATTCGGGTAAGTTTTCCTTCTCTTCTTCGTCTCAGGCAGAGCTGACGGGTTTCTAGGAAGCGGGAATTGACGTCCGTATGAGTGATATCGGTGCCGCCATCCAAGAAGCTATGGAAAGTTACGAAGTTGAGCTCAATGGCACCATGCACCCTGTCAAGTGTATCCGCAACTTGAACGGTCACAACATTGACCAGCACGTCATCCACGGTGGCAAGAGTGTACCAATCGTCAAGAGCACCGATCAGACCAAGATGGAAGAGGGTGAAGTTTTCGCCATTGAGACTTTCGGTAGTACCGGTAAAGGTTACGTGCGAGAGGAAGTAAGTTTATACTGTAGGTCCTAGGCCGAGAACCAAAGCTAACATGGCCTCAGATGGAAACCTCGCACTACGCTCTCGCCTCCGACGCTCCTAACGTTCCCTTGCGTCTTACCTCCGCTAAGAACTTGTTAAATTTGATCAACAAGAACTTTGGCACCCTTCCCTTCTGTCGCCGATACATCGACCGCCTGGGTCAGGACAAGTACCTTTTGGGCGTAAGTTGACGATGAAGTTCAATGTGAGACACCGAAGCTGACGAATATAGTTGAACAACCTGGTTTCTTCTGGAATTGTGCAGGATTACCCTCCTCTTTGCGATATCAAGGGCTCATACACTGCCCAATATGAACATGTATGTTTCTATTTTGGGAATTTCTCCACTCGGACTGTTTACTGACTTGTTTAGACGATTGTATTGCGCCCGAACGTGAAGGAAGTTATTAGCCGTGGTGACGACTACTGATGTATTTCATAGACATAAGTAAATAAAAAGCGTTCTTCAAAGATCCATCTCATTAGTAATGTCTTGAATAGATTGGAGACCAAAAGTTCTGACAAGTGCCGATCCTGCCAAGCCTCAAGCCATCAAGTATCGCGTCGCCCCACGTGGAACAACTGTCTTCCGACTTTTTTGAGACCTCTTATATCTCTCATGGCCTAAACTTCGACACATACCAATTTCCATCATGTCTGCGGTCGTTGAAACAACTTCGCCGCAACTCCGCGTGTCGGCAGCCAAGGCAGCCAAGGCATCCGACAAAACACAACCAGAGTCTACCAGAATACAGGCACCCGAAGCTTTGGTCGAGGACCATTTCTTCTGGACATACACGGAAGAACCGCATCGCTCAAGAAGACAGGCAATTATTAAAGCCCATCCGGAGGTATGTGATCCTGTTTTGAGGGCCCTCGGGGTGGTATGAGAAGACTCCATGCGGAGGTCTGCGGAGCTCCTACATACACCTGGCCACCTTTCCTGGGCGAGGGACAGTCTCAACAAGTGCAATTGCAATGCTGATTCATGATATCATGTACCTATAGGTCACCAAACTATGTGGTCCCGAGCCTCTTACAAAATGGGTCGTCCTCGGCGTCGTGTTCCTACAACTCACCTGTGCCTATCTCCTCCGCAACACCTCAATGCTCGATTGGCGGTTCCTGGTCACGGCATACGTGATCGGTGCGACTTGCAACCAGAACCTGTTCCTCGCCATCCATGAGATTTCACACAACCTGGCATTCCGGTCCGCTTTCGCCAACCGCTTGCTCGCTATCTTCGCAAACCTCCCCATCGGACTGCCGTACAGCGCAGCATTCAGAGTACGTATACTCCTCCACATGCCGGAAACTAGCCGGGTCCCAATACGGACCATAAACTGACACAACACCACCAACAGCCGTACCATCTGACACACCACAAATCCCTCGGCGTAACAGGTCTCGACACTGACCTCCCCACGGCAGTGGAAGCCTTCTTCCTAAACTCCCTCCTGGGCAAAACATTCTTCTGCACCTTCCAAATCCTCTTCTACGCCGTGCGCCCAATGTTCATCTACAGCCCACCCTTCACCTACATCCACCTCCTGAACCTAGGCATCCAAATAAGCTTCGACTATGCCCTAAGCAAACTATGCGGCTCCATCCAGCCAGTGCTATACTTCGTGTTGAGCTCATTCCTCGCCGGATCCCTGCACCCCTGCGCAGGCCACTTCATCGCGGAGCACTACTTCTTCTCGAACGTGAAGGGCGGCGGTACAGAGTCCCTGACCGAGCTGAAGAAGAACGAGAAGCCGAAGGTCCCGCACCCGCTCGACTCCCTGCCTCCCCCGGAGACATACTCGTACTATGGCCCGCTCAATATCCTCACTTACAATGTCGGCTTGCACAACGAGCACCACGATTTCCCTGCTATCCCTTGGACCCGATTGCATAAGCTGCATGAGATTGCGAGGGAGTTCTATGAACCGCTGCCTTGCCACCGGAGCTGGGTTTGGGTTATTTATACTTTTATCTTGGATAAGGATGTCGGTCCATGGTGTCGTGTGAAGCGCGAACAGGGTGGACGGATTGTTGGCGGTGGGACGAAGCGCGGTGGTGATTCTGCTGCGTCTAAGCAATGGAATGGACGTGGTGGTGAGGGCATCTCGGCTGAGTCGGCGGGTCCGGCGGGCGAGGAGGGTGATGGCTGGAAGGAGAGTGAGATTCAGTGTTAGATCTTGTTCTGCTTTTTGAGTATAACGTCTGGTTTCGGATTTTCAGGTGTTCAGTTACATACATTACTGGGTGGAGTACTTGTACTTGTTAGATATATTTGTTTACAATCAAATAGGCTGTCATTTTGTGACTTTTATCAGGCTTCATAATTGTAGGAAACACGAAGTATCAGTCTCGGTAGATTTACGCTCAGTTGAGATGATGTCCGGTGCCTGTGTCAACAAGACCATTTAATGCGCAAAGACAGGACCGAATGTCTTCAATCAACCAATTACCGAAGAAGGGAGACAACGTCCCGAACTGCATACTCTAGTAGCAATCACATGTATTATCCCGAGCTCGAGAATGGGTTATGAAACAAAGCGAACGAATCGAAAGGCTGGGTCCGTTTTATCATAAAATGATATTAGACAAGACAGGAATGGTAAAGAACAAAGGAAAGCAACGGCAAAGAGGATGAGACAGACATATGTCCGGCCTCAAGGGAAGAAGTCCAGAGAGACAACATGAAAGTAGAGTATTGATACTGGGGCAGAAGAATTTAAAGCAAACGCATAAAAAGGCTGATGCTAGAACAGATAGAAAACGGCATGCTCTTCAAGAGACAAAAAGTAGATGGGAATTTGGGACGGGCGTCGGCGACGTTAGACGGGAGGCATTTAGTACGCGGAGAGTAGGTGCAATGAAGCCAGATAGACCGCGAGAAAGCGACAAACAGAAGACCAGACTAGAAGAAGAAGTATGCGATCAAGAAGCTGAGCAGACAGAGAGATGCCACAGCCTGGATGGAAACTCCACTCGCCGTTGGCGCATGTGACTGCTGCATGGTAGCAGGCACAGCTTTACCGGTAGCCTCTCCGCCGGTCTTCCGCTGCCGCAGTCCTTGATCTGCAAGTCGGTCTTTCAGTCGTTGGATCTGTGCGTTGGCTTCAGACAGCTGGGACTTGAGTTCGTCGGTTGAGGGAATAGCACTTCCCACAGCAGACCTGGCAGTTGAAATAGCAGATGGCGGCTCGCGCTGGGGAGACTGGGACTTCTTCTCGAAAATGGGAGCAGGGATTGGGGACGGTTCAGCGGAGTCGATCTTCTTGGGGGCCGGGGTCTGGAAGTTTGCGCCGGCAGGAGAAATGTACGATGGAGGTTCCTCATCATGCACCTGGTGAAAGTTAGACTATGTGTATAAAGAAGTGATTGCTGGGGAGAATACCGATTCGTTGGCTGAAGTGGCATCTGTTGCTAGGTAGACAACTCGAATCTTGCGCTCAACCACGTCGCCCTTGGGAG